CTTCATGATGCCTCACCCAATCCTGTAGCCAGCATGGTCAGGGGCTGCTTCTGCCCATTTTTATATCTTCAGTGCTTAGTAATGCATGGCACTTTTTAAGAGCTTAGAAATGCTTCCTGACTGACTTTCCTGGACATTTCTGAACTTTTTTTTTTGTAGCTTACTTCTGTCTGTGTTCATTGTCTCTACAAGGTTCTAAATAGACTCTAAGCTTTGAATCTCTGCCCACACAACGATCTGCACACAGTAGATAGTCAATGAATTTTGTTTGCTGGCCTGAAGGTGAAGTATAAACCTTATGTTTACTGCTTTTGTTTTTATAGTTATATGAGAGATTTAAGAGCCAGTTTCTAAAGAATTTGAGCAAGGAAGTTTTGACACTAAGGCAGGGAGAGGAAAACCAGTTTTTTATGCAAGGGGAGATAGGCCTGGTCTGCTTCAGGGACATCACTGGGCAACGTTGGTGGCATATTCTCCTCCCAATATGGCTAGGCTGCTAGCAGTCAACCCAGCCCAGGGACAGCATGATTCCTGGTCCCTTCCACAAAGCAGAGAGTATGATAGTAAGGAGGGAAGGAGGTAGCTGAGTGAAATAAGCATAAGGGAGAAGGATCCGCTGGCCACAGAGGATCAGAAAATGGAATAATTTCCCACCTCAGTACCTTTGTATAGGCTGAACCCTGCACCAGCAGAATGCTCTGTCTCACCCACCTCTTGAAAGTCCTTCTTCCCTTCAAGCCTTAGCTCATGTATTGTCATCTTCAAGAGGCCCTTCCTCTTTTCCCTGTTGTTAGTGCTATCCCCAATCACTATATATGTATTTGTTTTGCATAGATCTGTATTTATTTATTTACCTCTAAACACATTATATTCTCCTCCTACTTTACCCCTCCTCCCCAAATGTAAGCTCCTTAATGGCAGGGAAGGGGCCACTTTTTATTTTGTTATTCCAGCATCTAACAGAGTCTCTGGCACAGAATAAAGGTACTTAATGAGTCTTGTTCATTGACCAGGAAGAAGAAATTCAGATGAAATAAGGCTTTTCCATTTGGGATATATTAGAAAAATCTTTTCCTTCCTTCTCCATCATGGCAAGGAAGTGACCCTAGGCACCCATCAATTCCAACAGCAGAGCTCAAGCTCTGGCAGGTCCTACCAAGCTGGAAAGGCTTCAGGCAAGGTAAAGAGACAGGACGGCCCATTATGCAGGGCTAAAATCATAGAGGCTTATTACCAGGCCAGACCCCAAGACACAACTTTGGGAGGCTACAGCAAGTCATTATGGCTTTTTACTAAGGCATTGAGAGGTTGGGACCTCTGTTGGTGGAAGGAATGCCTACACCAATGAAACCTAGGAACCTTACTTCAAGCTGCAAAGCTACTGATGAGATTTGAAGGACTTTATGCCTTCTGCCAGCCATTCTCCTTGCAGACAATGTGTCTGGTGTTTGGCTTCCGCAGTAATCCCAAGTACTTGGCTTCTAAGCATTTTTATGAATTTGGCTGGCAGTATGAGAAAGTGGTAATCAATGCCAGGCCCCTTCAACAGGAAAAAACAACCATCAATCAACCCTGGGGATAGAACATGATCACTTTTTTAAAACTCTCAACCTGGGACCCCAGAGCTATAAATGAGTAATAAGAATCCACTTTTACATAACACCAAAATTTGCAAAGGACATTTTTACTCATAACTACTCTGGAAAGAAGGTACTTTCCAACGTTACTGTTTACATTTTATAGATGAGGAAACCAAAACTCCAGCAAGTTAAGGGACTTTAAACAAGCAGTAGGCAGATCACGGAGCTGGTATCAGAATTCTTCTAATGAGAAATCCAGCATTCTCTCCCTTACCCATGGCCAAGTAGCATCCTTCTTGTTGTGGTACACCCAGGACCAAGGAGAGAGTCCCCTACCCAAGAGCCTTCTCTTTCTACTGCTGACTCTTCAGCAAACAAGTATCTCAATCAACAAAGGAAAGCATCTTCACTTTCCTAGACTGGGAGAAATGTAAGTGCTTGACAAATGGGAAAGCAGCAAATCAGCAAAGGAAAAAAAAAACATTTTGCAAATTCTGAACGGCTGTTTTCAATAAAAGAAAAATATGCAACTAAAAGGACAATAAATAACCAAACAAGTTATGGATGACACTTAAGGCAGAGATCTAAACGTGGCTCTGCTTATTAAGGAAGCAAGGTTCACTTGTCCAAGAAGCAGCATGACAGTTTATTCTTTTATTCTCTTTCATTTCTCTCTCTCCAGAGAAAACACTCATTTTCTCACTGACCTCTACAGTGAAGCCAGTGTGTATAAAATGTACAGGACTGCCAGAACCCTCACTTTGATTACTAAAGGTCTCGTGTATAGAGTGATAATTAACTTCACATTGTTCCTTGTAGCTACAAAAATACCTACTCACAAAATGAGGTTAGAAAAGAAATGTAAATATCTGTCAATGTCCTGCAAACAAACATCCTTTGATGCCATTTGGGATGCCTTCTTATTGCATTTACAGCTTGCTGATGGTGAAGGGACTATTCTGTTATTTAAAGCCTCAGGATTGGATGTAAGTCCCAGATACCAGGGCTGTGGAACCACCTACTGGCCCAACCCCCTTTCAGGGTCCATGCTCACCTACTCACCATCCCCCACATCACCTGTATAAAAATAACGCAGCTGCTGGCAAGGGCCGGCTATTTCTAGGACTCTTCACAGGGACAGTAGAGCGACACCAGGCTGAAGCAAGAGCAGCCAAATGAGTCTGATGGGTTCCCTTCTGACACCTGAGCGAAACCTTTTAATACTGGAGACATTGATGCAGGCTCCATTACATTACGATTCTTTAATGCCACATGACCAGATGACATCTATTTCTTCAACTGCGTTATTTCAAGGGAAGACATGATTTCTTTATGAATGAAATTAATTAATTCTAAAGTCTTTGTGTTTCCTCCTCTACTGAAGGTAGAGGGAGAGGAGGCAGAGTCCTGGGTGGAACACTCTCTCCTCTTATCTAATTTGGCAACTTGTCTGAAGATTACGGTCTTTGGGAGTGAGCTGGTGCAGGGATCATGGGGGTCACGGCTTTCAGACTCAGAAGAATCTCACAGGCCCTCTAGACCACCCCTTCATTTTACACATGAAAAACAGAGGCCCAGAGAGTTTCCCTCTCCTGCTGAAGGGCACGCAAATGAAGTGGCAGAGGTAGGGTATGAACATGGGTCTTCTGACTCGACCTGTTACTCTTTCCAATGTACCATGAAGCCCCTTAATGAGAAGTTGAATGAGCAGTATGTGTGACACCGGCAAGACTTGTTCCTGCCTCCAAGAACAGCACTAAACCAAGCTCCCTCTCTCTAAGTTCTCTTATGAAAATAATGAGTTCACATGTATACAGTGATTTGGGGAGAGGAAAGGGGGCTTGGGGCATTTACATGGGCCTAGAGTAAGGAAGACTCATCTTCCTCAGTTCAAATCCGCCTTAGACCCTCACTAGCTTCGTGATCCTAGGCATGTCACTTAACTGTTTGCCTCAGTTTCCTCATCTGTAAAATGAACTGGAGAAGGAAATGGCAAATTGTGAGAAATGAAAGAGTTAAGTTTCCATATAAGTAGGTAAGAAATCAGCACAGACAAGCTAACTTCTCCTTCCAGGGGAGGAGTAATAACACAATTCTAGGCACATAATGTATATTAGGGGTGGGGCATATAAGGAAGATTGTAACCCAGAAGGATTAGGACCAGTCCTGATCCAGAAGGGAGGAGTTAGGCAATTACTAACTATAAAGATTATTCTGGCTTCTTTTACCGCGGGCATTTTCTCCTCCTCCAATGAGGTGCACCTGCTTCTCGCTACAATGACGCACTTCAACCTCTTTAAAAGTCTTTAAGGGGCAGCTAGGTGGAGCAGTGGATAAAGCACCGGCCATGACTTCAGGAGGACCTGAGTTCAAATCTGACTTCAGACATTAACACTTAACTAGCTGTGTGACCTTGGGCAAGTCACTTAACCCCACTGCCTAGCCAAAAAAAAAAAAGTCTTCAGAACTGAGTTTGGGGTCATCTTTATAACACAAACTACTCCAGTATCTTTACCAAAAAAAACCCCAAATGGCGTTACAGAGAGTAGGATGCAACTGAACAGTAACAGTGGGCTTGGGCTTGGGAGTCCTTCCCAAGCTCTCTCTCCAAAGTTTATAAAGTTATTTGGGGCACTGAGAATTCAACTGGCTTGTCACAAAGCCAGTCTGTGTCAGAAACAGGACCAGAAATCAAGTCTTCTTGACTTTAAAGACAGCTCTCTGCCCACAATGCTTCTCATAGAGGGCTTTACAGGTTATAAACTGATTTCCTCAAAATAACCTAATGGGATGGTACTATTATCACCACTTTATAAACACAGAATTACAGGATCACATCTAGAACTGGAACATACCTGTAAGGCCAGCCAGTCTAACCCATTTTACACATAAGAACATTGAGGCACTGGTGGAACCTGGTTTTGTGACTGAGTCCTTAGCTAGCATGCTGGACCAGAACTGTCAAACCCAAGGCCCACCTGATTGTGGCCTGAACCAGATAAAAATGTAATTTGGAAATAAATACTTAACAAAATACATAGAAATACAATAGAACACAGATGATGCTAATAATATGGATTTCTAAGTCAACATGTGGCCCACAGGGACCCATACAATCTAGTTTCTATCTGAGTTTGATATCACCACATTGGAACACAATTTCTAGTGGCAGCTGGTACCTAAAAACTCAGCGTTTTCGCTGTGGCAGCTTCACCTCTTCAAACTCAATTATTTAAACAAATGGGCCTGGATCTCTGGTATATGCTAGGTCTTTCTTTACAGTTAGTAACTAACAACTGGCTGTGAACCAGAGCTGAACTATAAGCATGTTTTAAAATAGGATCTTTTCCTTCCTCCTCAGAGCTCCAGGGGACTGGAGATTAACCATGCCAAGAGAAGGGTAAAAGTGCTATCACTCACCTGAAAATCCTGATCATCAATTCCAAACCTTTCTCTCAGGTTGCGGAAAACCATTGGGCAATATTCCTTAAATTTGAAATGACTCGGCATGTTCTCTCTGAAATTGTAATACCATAAAATGAGATGCAAAGGCACACACAGCAGCTAATGTTTATATAGCTTTATAAAGTCTGTAAGACATTTTACAAACACATTCATCCCACTCAATAGTTCCATCAGCTTTATGAGATGGGCACTAGAGGTATCATTAGCTTCATTTTATAGTTAAAGGAACTGGGGCTCTGAGAGGCTGGACAATTTGCCCAAGAAGACACAAGCACTAAGTAACAGAGCTGGGTCTCAAATTCAGGTCTTAACTATAAACCCAATGCTCTTGTTACTACCTCTCCTAATTATACTAAAATGTCCTGATGGATTGTTCTAGTATATATATATTTACATGCGATACTTAAGGACAAATGGCAATGGTTTTTCTCCTTCATCCCTCTGACAGCATAGACCTCCCTTAATCTCTACCATGTCTATCCATCAGTTTTCACGTTCATGATTTAGAAAGTGGAGAAGTCATGAGGAGGAGGGAAAGAAGAGGTGAAGAGGAAAGGAAGAAGTGGAACAGAAAGAAGAAACGAACAAAATTAGGAAAAGAAAAGTAGAGGACAGCAGGAGGAAGTTGTGAAGGACATTTCTGGACCATTTTCAGTTACTCACAAGTGGTAGGACTGAATTATAGCCCTCTGAAAAAACAATAAGACTATCCTCCCACACTAACTTCAAATACTGAATATGTTATTTTTTTTTACTACTTTCCCAATTCAATTCAGATAACAAAACAGTGAACTAAGATTTTCTTTCACCCTTCTAACTCTTGAAAGCCCAGCCTCCAAAATATATTATAAGGACTGACTCACCTGTTTCACTCAGGACAATGGTTTTATTTAGAAATTCTTTCATTTAAATTCACATAGACAAAAGTAATATTTTTAGCACTTTATACAACCTCCTATTAAGTTTCACAAAAATACGTGCCATCCTTTATTCATTGGCAAAATAAATCCTCTTGATTTTTGTGGAAAATGAATCCTTTTTAAGGATGCATATTGCTGAATGTAAGTTTATATTTCTTCCAAAATCCAAATAATTTGCATCCTTTAAAAAAAATCCCATTATAATGAGAATTTCACTTTTAACATGTAAAATATTCACAGAGAACAATATGCCATATGGCAAAAGGATACTACCCAGTAGGCCCTGCTGTTACTTTTTTGAACAGAACAGATGGTTGTGTTTATCACAGGATTAACTTAATCAGCAAAACTTTACTCCTACCCATTGAAAAATAATGGAGTTTTTAAAACTTCATAAAAACAGAACTCCCAGGAACTCTCCTAGCATGAGAGAAAAGTGGTCATTGAACTTACTTGTTAAAAAGGTGATTGTCCACCTTTATCTTGGAGTACGCTTTGAAATCGTCCGGCATGAGCATTACAGGGATCTGGACGTGGCTCAGCTCATTGATCTAGAAGGGAAAAAAGAAACATTCCACAGTGGTTATCATTGCTTAGAAAGCCGCTTCCCATTCCATCCTTATGTATGTCCCTCATTAGCTGAGTGGCTTTAGGAATTCTCCTCTTCTTCCTGCTGCTACTCTCAGGGTTTGGTTTTCCTCCCCTGTTCTCCTTTCCTGGTGCCACCACACATACACACAGCTGCCTCCTGAGCACCATACATTAACACTCCCCAAAGCAGATCTTTGATTCTTGTCTTTGTCACCAGTGCCAGGATATGGCGACAGGTCTGCTAGTGGCAAAGGACAATGGAAGGGAAAAAAAATGGCAACCCCTCCCCCCTAGCATCATCCCTTTGGCAGAATGAGGAAGGGTGTTATTACTAACCAATCGATTAAAATAAGTGCCTACTGTGAGTCAGGCACTGACAATACAGAAACAAAAAATGAAACAACCCCTCCTCCTCTTAAGGAATTAACACTCTAAAACAAACAAGCCACCCTCTCAGGTGTAAGAATTGTTAGGCTGACACCCAGGACCCTTTTCCACTTTGTGGAATGTATTCACTCTCACCCACTTGCCCAGGTTTGGGGGGATGGTTAAGAATACCCCCATTAACTTCTGCCTGGCCCCTGGGATTTGGTTACCCTTTGAACTCTGGCTTGAGTAAGAAGAACCTACAGCTTAATCTCTAGAATCAAGATTTCCAAAACCAAAAGAGTTCTTTCTGTTAATTGGTCCTAACTACCAGCTGAAGTGCGCTCCTTCCTCACTAGGGAGTTGGGATTCCACTTTTTCCCTCCCTCCCTTCCACCCCACCACTACTTGGCTGGTTTGATTCACAATATTCCAGCTTTCTCCACCTTGAATATCTTCACCATTCCCCTTTCTACAAGGCACAGGCCAACTCTTCACCCTCATGCCAACCTTCTCTCCTGGGACAAAATGAAAAAGGAAAGACTTCTTCGGTGACAAGGTGCCTGAAAAATAACCTGGGCTTTCCTCTAAAATGTAAAATAGACCCTTGCAATTTAATTCTACAAGGATGTATTATGTATAAGGCACAAGTATATAGGTACAAGGGGCACGAAGTCAAAAGAACTACAGGGACACTGCCCTCAATCAATCATCAAGAGCTTAGGTGATGTCTCCTCTGTGCCAGTCATTGTGCTACAAACACTGGAGATACAAACACCAAAATAGTTCCTACTCTCAGTGAGGTTACATTCTAACAGGGGAGACAACATGAACAAATATAAGCATCTTTAAGGCATGTACAAATCAAATACAAGCTGAGGGCACCACGAAAGATTTCCCCAAATATGTGTCACTTTGGCAGAGTCTCCAAGGAAACAAGGGATCCCTGGGGGCAGCAGATTATTCCAGGCATAGTGGTTGGCCAATACAAAGACATGGTGATAGAAGATAGAAACAACCAGGAGGTCAGTAGGACTGGTCCACAGAGAACACAGAAGGGAATAAGCGGAATGGAAATGTAGGAAGAGGCCCACCTTGTGAAAGGCTTGAAAAGCTATAGGAGGGGTTAAACATGCACACAAGTGAGTACAATGGAGGAGGAAGAGTACTAACAAGTTAGGGGACCAGGAAGGCTTAATAGGAAAAAAACCTTACTTGTAAAAGACAGTGAAGCGTAGAGGGTCTCATCACCAGAAGGTCAGTCACCATGTGACAATTTTTTTTTTCCCTAGCAACTCATTAGACACTTATTAATCAGTGCAGGAAACAGTAGTGCCAATGAAACCACAAATTCTTAAATGATAGAAGTAAAGAATTTAAGAAAAATTCTGAGTTTGTTGGCCCCAGTAAGCTTCATTTTAAAATCATATTATAAAGCGTTTCAGCACTGAGTATTGAAAATACTGCTACTTGGAAATTAGGCATGGTCAAATCCATTTAAAATAAGTACAATTCTAACAAAGAAGCTTTATGAATGCATGTATATGTAAACATAAAGATTGCTAAGCCTTTGGCAATGACCTAGTCAAAGCGATATTTGGGACAACCAAATTCTAGTACAACAAAAGAACCAAAATAGTGCCTCAGGTTTCATTGTAATGGGAGATGACCTGTATAGAATCTTAAATTAGTCCCAAACAATCTTAATTACAACCGCCAACTCTCCAATTAATTCTTGCACTGCACAGACTGCTGATTTATAAAACCTTTCCATACAATTAGCTCTCTGGTTTTTTACTGCCATAAATTACTCTGAGGATCCTTTTACTGGTGCCAACAGCTCCTTCCCAAGCCAAAATAATATCACAGCACAAGTCAAAGAAGGAAGTTAATCCAGCATCACCTGGAGATTGTACAACCTTGGCCTGAGTGTAGCACCTCCAGACTCTCTTTTGCACGTTAAACACACAAAGATGCTATTTATAAAAACTGAAACAATAACATGAAATCATACAACTATTGTGATTCGTTCACTGTTAAGTACCTTACCAGTACAGGGGTAATTCTCAGAGCAAATTTGTGAGACAGATAAACACTGTTCCAGATTCATTTTACTATTGCATTGTAAAAGCTTGAAGGATTACATTAAAAAAAAAATCAATGCAAGAACCATAATTAGAACTCACTAATTGTTAACATAAATCCTGGGGCCAGATAATTAAAATATACTTTATAATTAAAGACACTGTTACAGAGATAATTATTTAAATATTTTGGAGATCTGGAAAGGAAGACTAACGTAAAAAAAAAACGGAAGCAAAGGTGTCAAAACAAAGGGAGCGTGTACCTGCTGGGTTCACTATTTCACTACATCAATTCAGGGTGGCCACACAGCACAGACAAGAAGAGCTCTAGATGTGGGGCCGGATGACCTGGGTGCTGACCTTGGTTTGGTCACTTAGAACCTGCACTACCTTAGCCAAGTCATTTACCATCTTCTTGGTAAATACAGGTTTGCTCTTCTGTAAAAGAACAGTGTTATTAGACCAGGTGACCTGTAAGATCCCTTTCCAGCTCAAAATTTATCTTCCTACAACAGGAAAGTATTACTGGTGCCTCTCCTTAACAGTCATATCTTCAATCACAATTGGCGTGATTAATGATGTCTTCCCCAATTTCAAAGTGGAATTAAATCTTGATAATTTAGAGACCAGCTATTTCGCTTTGCCATGGTCCCAGCTTCCTCTTTTTGCCCCCAGCTAACTCCCCCCTCTCTGTTCATCAGCATCTCCACCAGAGGTTGAGCAAGGCCCACAGGAATAAAGATTTAGACCTGGAAGGCGACCTTAGTGGTCACCTAGCCCATCCCCTTGGTTTTACAGAAGAGCTGATATCCAGACGTTAAGTAATCCGGACCAGGTCACCAAAGGAAAAACTGGTAGAGCCAGGATTTGAACCCAAGTCCTCTGACTTCAAATCCAGGACTTTTCCTGCCATAATGTGCTGAAAAAGTAAAAAATTCAGGATGATTCTTTCTTTTTAGTAGCTCTTTGAAGGATCCAGGAGAGAAGATTTAAAAGGTATTGATTTAAATACAAGCTGGCTGTGTGACCTTGGGCAAGTCACTTAATTTTAAAGAAAGTCTTTAAGACAGGAATTCTTACCCTGGGATCCATGAACTTGGTTTTTAAATATTTTGATAACTGTATTTCAATTGATTCCCTTTGTAATTCTGTATATCTCATATACTTAAAAACATTATTCTGGATAGGCTTTACCAGGCTGCTAAAGGGATCCATGATCCCCCAAAATGTTCAGAACCTCTGCTCTTACAACCCTAAGTTGCAGGAAAGGGGCCAATCTGTACTGGCGGAGGGAGTTCCTTCATCCAAGTGTTCCTCACATCAATGAAACCACAAGTCTAGTTTCCATCCCTATCCCTGTCTCTACTTTGGAACCAGCCCAAGCACTCTGATTACATTAAACTCACTTCTTGATAAAGCTTCCCAGGCAGTAAGCAGTCAGGAAGAAAACCTCCATCATTCAAAAATATTTAATCTGCGTATGGGGAGGACTAGCATGTCTGGCGTGAGGGTTGGCTGAGCCCTTTTTAGGGCTGCTCATCTACCTCTGGTGGCCACCTGTCACCCAACTCTCACCTGTGACTCCAAGAAGGGATACTAAAGTCAACACCAAAGGAAGACCTCAAAAGGCCAAGGAATGGAATATTCAAATACATACACAGTAAATACTTTTATAGATTTATTGAGACACCACTGGCAAAAACACAACATACAGAGATAACTACAAAATAAAGCAAATTTCACATTAGGAACATCCACTGAAGGGTCTGAGTATCTTCAGAAGGAGATGAAAGAGTTAACAAACGACTGACTTTCAGGAGTTCGTCTTTCTGTCATTGAGGCCTTTCCTCCTATATTTTCAGCTGGATTACTGAATATTAAATCCTTTTTGGGTACATAAGCATAGACCACATGTCAGAGTCATACTAGATTCTTTGCAAAAGGATAACAATAACAATAGCCAATTGGTCAATAAACACGGAGGATGTCCCGCTCAGAGTTCAAACAGAAAAGTCAAGATACAGACACCTTCAAGATTTGAGGCTTTTTTTTATATATCTTGATGAGCACATTTCAATACAATTAGTTTGCTTTGTACTCCTATGTATTTCATTTTATACATTCAAAAACATTATTCTGAGAAAGGTTTCAGGATTTAAACCACAAAAAAATTTAAGAACCCTTGTGTGATTTGCTTCTTTTAGCAAATGACATCGCGTTGATTTTATAAAACCCTGTGACACTGAACTTAAACAAGAATCAGTCACTCAAAACAGTTTGGCTTAACTATGCACAGAGAGAAAAGCCAACGAAAAAGGATGTCAATTGTCCGCACTGTGATATGGAGTTGGATGGATAATGCATTTTATATATGTGTATGTATGTATGTATGCATATATGTGTGTGTGTATATATGTATGTATATGTATACATAGATACACCTATGATTGTGTGTTGTATATTACATATCAATAATATATTGTATATACATGTAAATACATATAGATCAG